AGAACGCCGCGAAAATCTCAATAGGGAGGCCGGTAAGCAGATCAGGCTAGTCAATCATTCGATCGATTCAGAAAAAGCCGACAAGTGTTCAACCACGCCACAGAAGCACGGTCGACTATGATCAGCGTTCAGGCATTTCATAGAGGCACGGTTGTTGTTGATGGGTATTCACTAAACGCCTATCAGACAGCCTGGATCAATAACAGAAACTCCCCTTCAAATAGCGCGGGGCCGTTGTAACTTTTGCACTCGCACGCATTCGCTTGTTCGGTGAGTCATTTTCCGGCACTAGGCACTGGATCGGTGACAGCAGTCAGATACATCTGCGACATACACTCACGTGCAAATGACATCGATGTTAACGGGAGACCACACTGATTCTCTTGCTTATGATATAATTCATCTTGGCCTCTGATTAACGCCAATGCACTGCACCGATTATATAAAATCGGTTACAATCGGTTAAAACCGCTTACAACTTAGAGAGGGTTGAGGGAAACCAGGTGACTGTTTGTTGAGGTCGAAGAAGGGCGAAACCAGTTATGAGCTGTCGAGGATTTTTAATCACCCTTACTAACATATGTTGAAACGTCAAAATAATAGTTTTGTTCATTTGGAGAAAGCTTGGAACCGATTGTTTACCAAGCCCTTCTGAGACCACAGATTATCTTCTTGAAGGCAATAGCAGTTGACCGAAAGCTCCGACCAACGCAACGGGACATGAGGCTTATCATTTGAACCTCTGATTTGCTTCTTTCTTAACTTAACTCCGTGGTCACTTTTATAAGGACAACTTAAGCAAATGCATCACACGGCTGAACATGTTTGCTGCCTTCAATTCAGTAGCGTGTTTCATGGGTTAAAATTCTATACTTCGTCTGATAGCTTACTGTTGCCCTCACTTTCGTCCGCAACAAGCACAACTTTCTTGCGAACAAGTGAATACCACAGTTACAAGAGACCTCGTGCTATTTTCGAATGTCACTTTCTATCGATCCAGGCTGTTACTGTATTGATTAACTGATCGATTGACTGGTCTGGATGCTTGCCGGTTTTCCTATAGAGACTTTGGTGAATTTTTAGGTCTGGGGGATTCTGGAGGACCTTCCTGTCATCTCGAAACCCAGTGTATTTCAAGAAACCGCAAAAAAACACTTACGGGGGCCTCAACTACACTGGTTGGAAGAATGGATAAAAGAGTGATAAGAGAACAACGAACGGATGGAAAAGTGGACTTCATCCGTTCCAGTCAGACATGTGGTCATTCACGCTCACCTCGGTTCAGGAGAAAGTTTTTGCACAGTCGGTCACCCGTCCGTTGGATCCACATTCCGCATTGTCTGGCCATTTACTAGGTCTATTCTATGCAAACTGATGGCGTGACGATAAACAGAGAGGAAGGTTGTAATCTCTTTCAGTACGATGACTAGCGGGTTTCTTGAGAAAGCGCCTATGGTTGGGACAGAACGTGCGCTTGAGCCTCACCCAGATGCATTAGCCACAAAATTTGCACGAGTGTGGTCGGAACGCAGAGTGTAACAAGGCTTGTCAACAAGATTTTGCACTTTAAACGGCTCAGCGCCAAGCAGTGCCAGCGCACAAGTACGGACCAGACACAGACTTTCAAGCCGAACTCTGCGACGTGCAGGCCAGTTGGGGACCTTCTGCATAGACAGAACACGAGCTCTATCTAAAGCACTACTTGTATGGTCGCTGAATACTTCTCGACAGCTCGGCTTCGAGCCTGAAAAGTTTCATCATGTAATTTTCGTCAAACCTGTGCTCTGATTGAAACGAAGATTTTAGTTGGCCGGCGAAATGCACTCATTTAGTAACTGAGTTGGTTGTAACGGATGGCTCAACCGAATCCTGCTGATTCGAACGTTCACGATCGTCGTGTGTGCAGCGTATAAACTTGAAGAAGAAGGCGGGAATTCGGATAAGAAATCTGATGGGCGTAACCGGTCGTGGGCTGTCGCAGAGTTTTCAGCAACCTTGTGAGTAGTCTGCTTGGAAAAATGCACCGTGATATCCGGAATTTTGTGTCAGAATCAGTAGTCAGGTACTTAGCTCTCCCCATTTTGTGGGCTCTCACAATGTCCGGGGGCAGCTGCTCTAACTGACCGAACATCAGATCGACTGGATCGATGTGTCACATGAGGGAGACTGACTAAATGAATGCATGCTTTGATTGGTCATCGTCAACCAATCAGGTTCGAACGTTTATTCCTCGACGCTTCTGCACACATCATGAAGATTCTAGCGTGACTTTGTGGATCGTTCCCTGACAACTCTTCAAGTGCAGTTATAGTAGATCTTTTTTATTTCCACAAAAGGCTGTGTCAAGCTGTGTCTTGCTGGCTTTCTCTCCGAATAACGTGTGTCTCACATGTCTGGGAACGGATTGCTGTGAAACCTTTGAGACTGTGCCGTCAGATAAGCACAATCGATGAGTCAACGTCAAACTGAGTTGAAGGTAAATCTGGTCTGGATTAGACTTGATAACCCAGAGGACTGATGAGAGAAACTGGGGTGATTGTGTGAACCTTGGAATAGATTAGGTACTTGGATGGTGTTCCTCTTCGCCTGCAGGTTGGGTGGATAAGACCTCATCTCAAAAGTGGACAAATTGTACCAGTCGAGAGAACGCGTTCTTGGAATTTCACCCAAGACTTCGTACAGCAAGTGGAATACTGTACAGCTGTTTCATTCTTATCGGGAATCATCAGCAACGCCGTTTACTCTTCAACTGCCATTCAGAAGGTCGAGGGTTCGAATCTGCCTAGAAATCTGTGAGGTGCGCACTACTGATGATTCTCAATAAGGATGAAGCGGCTGTACAGTGTTTCTCGGCCTCTCTGCGCAGACTGACTTCACTTACAGGACGAAATATTGACTCAACTTTTCCTGTCCAAGAGTCCATTGGTACTCGGTTGGTCTAATAAGCTGATTCAAGCCCCCTCATTCCCACCGAACTGGCTAGCCTTCCAGTGGTTTCAAACAGACAACATACTACTGAATTTCGGACAGCACAGTTCAGATAGATAGATAGATAGACTTCCAATCAGCACTGAAAGCGAGAACATCAGAGACGCAGTTCCAACTGAGTCCAAAGACTACAGGTTCGGATGGGATTAGAGACAGAAGAGAAACTAGGGTCGTTGGCGATTGGTGCTTTTCGAAATTACCTGCAATGTGAACAGGCTATACGCTTTTCACCTCAGGTTTTGTCGAAGTCATTTTGAGCTTGCCTTATTCAAAGGCGTCCCGGGAGTAGCTCTAACATGTGTAGAAGCCATCGTTAAGGGTCGTTTTAAGAATTTCGTCGCCTGCGTGAAAATCAAGTTAGTTAAACGCATGCGCCTTTTTCGGAAATCCGTTCGGAGCCGTTCGCCCAGTTATCGCTACAGCCAATGGCTGCGTTGCACGGATGTCCGACGCACGCGGGCACGCACGCACACATGCGCGCATGCGTGACCCTACACACGCACTCACCTACGCACGCATCTTTCTCTACAATTCTGGTGTATGGATGAACTCCACACGCCAGTTGCAAGTTAGCTATCGTGTGCGCCTTTCAAAGAGTGACCGAAAGCAAGCGGTTACTGGAATCATCATGATCGGCTAACTGTTGCAATAACGATGGACGAACGAGAAAAAAAATTTCTGTCGATATCATGCCGAAAAGTGAAATCCGTGTGACTTGGGTGGGCCGGTGACCACCAGGCTAACCGCGAACATAGCGGTCGACAGCCCAGCCCGTTGGAGCGAGAGCAGTGTAGATTTTGTTTGAAGAGTTTGTATATAGTCTGAAAATAAGTGAACTCGAAATCGGTCCCGCTGGCTACGTCACACGCTAACGACGGGTCAGTGAAATTTACAATGTAATGTACAATGATGAACAGTGTACAAGCTATACCCCTTTGTAAACCAAAAAAATGTTCTGTGGCTTTGATTCAAGCAGCCCATGGCCCTGAGTTGGAGCTGGCAATTGCCTACGAATAGCGTCCCAGTGGGTTCACAATAAGTTCACCGATCCCTCTTCAGTCTGCCCAAAGCCAGTGAGGACAAGATGAGATGTTCTGGATGCACGTGTGCTGGCAAATTCCAAAATGAAACCAACCCGTTCCGAAAAGGAGTTTTTTCAAACATTTGGGGTATCATTATCGTTAGTGTGACGCACCCCGAGGGTCTTTAAAGCGCTTGGTCCTCCTGATCCTGCGGTGAATACTTGGATGTACCGTTCGATCGTAAATAGCTGATCGATTGATTGATTTGCACCAGCTGTGGATTAAAAGGGTAAAACTTTTGCGGTTCAGATATTTACAAGGTCATTCAGTAGTCCAACAATTGAATAGGCATCACCTCTTTGCGCGTTCGCGGGCTTTCCAAAACACTGAAGAACGAATAATTCCCAATGTTTAACACTACCGCCACATATCAAGAAACCATCCTTTCAGCATGAGGGAACTAGTGTTAATGTGAGGAGCTCTGGTAATTTTCCACAGGGCTTTCATCCTGTCACTAAGGCTATGCTGATAAGCCGGGAAACATGGCGCAACCGTTTCATCGTTATTAGGAATCATCAACAATGCGCATCTGATGAAACTCAGAGAGGTTTGAACCCGAAAAATTTAGTCGTTCGAGCGGCTGAACAGCAGTGTGGTTAGGGCTCACTCAGTAACCCCATCATGTTTGTTGACTGGCTCCTCGAATGGCGACTTCTCACCCAGAAGTTCCATTCATCCCGTGAACTCACTCTTCCTCTGAGCCATTTCTAGACTGATTGTAGTGAGAGGAGATTTCATAAGTTATGGTCGAGTGAGATGAGCTCTCGATGGTCAACCGACGGCAGGAAAGTAGCGCGTTTGAAACTGTGTCTGAGCTTCCTGACAGGCCTGAGCAGAGGCAGTTTTATGCAGATTCACTAAATCTTTGTGAATAGGTTCGCCGTGGAGCCGCAAACCGACGCAAATGGGAATTTCACACAAGATTTCGCTGCGATTAAGCGAATGGTAGACCACCGTTTTTCTGGATCACTGAATAACGGGATATTTATTCAAGCGGCTTATAAATGTCCGCTTAGTTTGCATATCCGACGATGTCGGATAGAGTTTGATACAACTGCGCAGGAATTGCCGGCTGCAAAAGAGAGGTCCATTGCTCAAAGACTCGCGCCACTGACTACTTTTATCGGACTGTTTTGCGCTTTCAAGCAGCATTTTTATCCTTGTCTTAGAAAAAGGTTTTTGAACCGTGGCAACCAATTCGCAAAGAGAAACGATACTTTCGGGCCCGTATCGTTAACTTAGTCATTTGCGAAATACACTCATTTGCAAACTCATTTGGTTTTTCGAGCGACTCACCTGGAACCCAGCTGAATCTCTCGATTGTGATGTTTCCAGGCAAGTGAATGTGCTGCATCAGGCCGCCTCGACGAATTTTCAGCAACCTCATGAGTAGTGCATTACAAATTAAATTAGTTGTGTTGAAAGCTGTAAAAAAAACCTATGGGAGTCTTGAGGAAACGGTAGGCGCCTTCCATGGAAGGCACAGGATAATCACTAGGTACTGTTGGTACCGGAGCCGTTACCAGTACACAGCTGCATATCAGACACCGAAGATAGCCACTTCCTAGTGTTTTCAGAGAGGATCTTGGCAAACAGTCACTTCAAAAAGTTTCATTTTCATTTGGAGTTACGTGGTGACCTCTCCGAGTTCAATAGATGCCTCGGCCACAACTGGTCTACCTCGGGGGTGTCTTTCACGTACAGTGGCAATTGTGTCTTGTCGTTACATCAGGAGCCGCAATGCGGAAGAAAGATATCACTTTCCATGACTCGGTTGCTTCTCTTCCCCTAAGTGGACAAGCGACGTAACTTCCGATAGAATTCTTGGAATTGTTATGCGAACTAATGTTCCCTGAAACATCGTTTTGTGGTACAGAGCAGCTGCTTCATGCGGACGCACCTGTCAATGTCAAATGTGACGATAACCTCCCAAGAATTTCCACGCCATGTAGCTCACGACGTCAGAAAATGCAACAAAACGTGAAATCGATGACAAAGTTCCAGGCGTACGTCGAACGGGCGTTGTTCATGATAGGTTTGATTGATGTCAAAACGCCGTTGGAAGTTAGTGTTTACGAAATGAAAGAGGCCAGACATTTTGGTCCCGATCTCAAAAATCATTTGGAAGCTAATAGGAAAGAAAAATTGTCCACCTTGTTCGCGCCAAGGTGGTTTTCCCGAGCGAAATTCGTCCATCACCGGCATTAAAATCGAATAAGAAACAAAGTACTTTCTATGTGAAAGAATTTAATTTCCAAACTGACTAAAGATAGTGACCATTTTTTCGGTTTTTCTATTTTCGCAGTTGCCAAAGAAATAAATGTTGGCTAATGGAAAACAATACCGCCTGTTTAAATATTCTGTTTGAGCATGGGCCATAAATTCAAGTAGGCCGTAAAATTGATGGAAATTTCTTGAATATTCTGAGAGAAAGTAAGAGAAGAAAGGTGTGTAGACGTAATACACTACTCGACGTCCCACGACCGGTTTCGCCATTCTTGGAGCTTATCAGAACTACACTCATTTTCAAACAAATTTGTTCTCGTGCGAGGCTTACCTGAAACCCAGCTTAGTCTCTCGTCTATGGTGATTTTAGGATTCAGCTGTGGGCAAATTCAACTGGTTATGCAACTGAGTGTATTTCACTAAAATGATGTCATAGGTGGAAAAAAATAGGCTTTTCGCTGTCATTAAATTATTTTTAAGGTTGCCTTGAACACTGCTTGTTTCATTTCTCTTGGGGCTCATCTGATACGCGCATTCTCCGAGTTTTCCTCAACCCCATCAATTAGTTTGACCCAAATTGGACGGATTTCGACACATTCGCACTCGAATTTGTTTTTTCGGAAGACTCAGCGAAATACTAGCAACATCTCTTTTCTGTGATTTTCTTCAGCTGAATATCTTGCTTCAGACCGCCTCATGCTTTAGTTAATCCAATATTCAAAAGATGGCATTACAGACGAAACACACTACTCATAAGGTTTATGTACTTGAACACCCGATTCAATAGAACTGCCAAAATACACTCATCTGAAAAGTTCTTTAACAAAAGACCCAGCTGAAACTCATGTTCACAATATTCTGTAACCGAAAAATCTCCTCATGTTTCAGTTAGCTTAAGATTCGGGAGCTTGAAGAATATCACGAAAGAGAGATAGAGAGTCAGCTGGAATTCGTTTGAGTCTCCTGTTGAGAACAACGATTCAAGGTTGGGATTTTTATGTCAAGTATGGACAATCTGTTTGAGATCAGAGCAAATGCTTGTAATGCAAGCGGAACCTAGCGGAGCGTTCCGACCCCTTCCTGAGTGTCGAAAGTTATCTAATATTTGAAGGTTTTATTCCTTCCTAAGGCTTCCTAAGGCACTGGTCTGAACAACAGCGTTCATGATCGTGATTCATGAGGGGTGGTCGCTTCGCCTCTTTCTAATCGATGGATTGTATTTTTGGAACGAATACTTCCTCGGATATCCATGCGCGGTATCCGGCTCCAATGAAACCTACTTAGGGTGAGACTTACAAGTCCCCCGTGTGCTCACGGTGGCCAGAAGATCTTTTGTCGTGAAAACTGTGGTCAGCCGGAGAGTTTGGTGCATATTCTGCGTCGTGCTGGATCACGAATGTTGCTGGATGTGCTGGTCATAATCGGCTTGCAAAGGAACTCGCAACACGTCTCCGTCGTCTGGATACACCGTCTTTGGGGATGTGACCTAATCGCTGTTCGGGAGCGCCGAGTAACTGTAACAGACGTCAGCATAGTCTCGGATGGGCGCAGAGCGACTGTGTGGAATGAGAAGAAGCAGAAGTATGGTGCTGATGAATATTCCCTCGCCATAATCTCAGCCCTACGTGCAATCGGTTGTGATGTCGACTTTTTGGTCCACCAACCGATGATCATTTCTTATCAAGGGATCCGCTTTCTTAAGTCCACTGAGGCTGTCATTGAACTGGAATTTCCTAAGATCACAGCCCGTGATTTGTGTTTGCACGCCATTTTTGGGCTCTCTGCCTACTTACGACACTTTTATACGCGGTATATGGCGTTAGGTGTACACTCTTGCCACTGAATCTCACACCAGACCCATTATGACGGACACTTTTTGCCTGGTATGTGAGCCTTGATTGTGCTAGGGCTTACCACGCCTTGAAGAGCATTTAACGTTGTTTGTCCTTTCTTCGATTGTTGGTCTTTACACGCGTTTCCATACCATCACATTCTCAGGTACTTTGGGATTCATCTTATCTGACCGGAACTGTTAGTGGCATTACTTCGAAGGGAAGCTTTCCTTGTCATATCTACTATTCCCGTGTAACCTTTGCAAGTCTATCACTTGTACTTACTTTTTACGTCTGTGAGCATGCTCGTTAAGAATAGTCGATAATAGTGATCATGATCATGAACATGATCCTTCATCCTCATCCTCATCCTCATCCGAATCATCATCATCATCATCATCATCATCATCATCATCATCATCAACATCATCATCATCATCATCATCATCATCATGGCATGAAGGCATACAAACCGCCACACCATGGTAAGATCCAGTCTTTGTGTTTTCAAAAATCGGTAGATCACAATAGAAGCTCATGAAGAGTTCAGGTGCATAGTCATCGAGTATTCCATTATGCCGTGGTAAGCAAATCACGCCCCCTGCCGTGGTGTACCAATGGGAGGGGGCTACATGATCTCTAAAGCAGAGCTGGTTGTGAACTTATCCATCCTACCAAGAGCGTACCGCTCCGCTATCCAAGCTTTGACACGAAAACAGCTGATTTGGGATCACGAGCATGACTCATTTCATGGCGCAACTCCATGTCAGTCTGCTTCGTTCACCTGCCCACCGTTGTGAGTGAGATGACTGTATCTCAATCAAATGATTTGTGCAACCAAACAATTCCGGCGATTTTAGCATATAACCTTGAACACACTGGTGCGATCAAGGTCGGGCTTGTGGTGGAAGCATACGCCAAGCGCCATGGCGACAACCGTTGACGGTGCAGACACACGTTGTCATGGTATCCCGTCAAATCGGCCCCGGGACATTTCTCTCACCAAAGTGTTGGTCACCAAACTGGTAGGCCACGGCGTCTGTGGGTGCATTTTACGGACTTCTAAATTTCGAACGAGTAACGCTTCTTTTGAGCACTTTAAATGAGCTCTCAGATCTTTAATCCACAAGAAAAAGATGTGGTGCTAAACGTCAGGAAGAGGTTTTAGTGAACACCGTTTATTCTCTGAATGGACTGATGGATATGTTCCTTCTCTCTGGCTATCACCCGAGCTTTTATACTAAGTCAGTTCCAAAGTACATTGCGTGACCCTTCTCTTCATTTTTATCTGGAAAAATTAGTCAGAACTGGGTTACGTCGGCTACCGATCGCCACACCATCGACCCGTTGACGAGGCCAGATCAAGAACTTGAAACTAGCCTTCCTGATGCACAAGAACACTAGTTCTTCGAGAAACTCTGTCGAAACGGGAAGAATAGAATTTTCGGATAAGGAATTACTTAACAAACTCTGTTTTCAGAGTTGTTGCAAAGCCATTTTTGTAAGATTTTGACCTTACTAAAGTGATAATAATCGTTCAGCTGTGGCGCCCTTTCGGTGCCTAGCTGCCATGCCACCCGAAGGAAGCACGAGGTCTGAGATACTGCCAATTCTGAACAGGGGAAGTCTAGAGGCAGAGGTTGGGTTCGAACCATGGACCGCTCTAACCACTGAGCCATCTCGCCTTGCTGCTGACGAGACAATGGGAATCTATCAGTCTCAGTGCCTTCAGTGTTCTATTAAAAAGTCAAATAAAATAAAGTGTTTTCCAGTAGCTCTCTGTTTATTTGTTTGTGCGATGGTCATTCCGTTTGAGTGATCACATGAACAAATTAACAGGTATCAAAGGCTGTCGTGTCGCGCACGACCGCGTCCTCACCCTCTTTCTCATAAACTTGTGCAACTCTCAGGTATTGGTCTAATTTACGCATTCTATGAATGGAATGGCAATCGATGGCTCAATATTCCTACTCGAGGATGACGTGAATTCCGATATCATTAGGCGTGACAAAATCCACAAAACACCCAGTTTGTTCATACATGTTTTGGAATGGAAATCACATCATCGGCTAAAATGACGACCAGCAAATTAGTCCTCTCGTGAGTTCATCTCGATATCTGTGTGAAACACGATGCATCACTTGTGTGATTTCGCTCCTTGTTAACCCAATAACTGCATTTGTCCTCCTTATCTACTCTGACACGTAAGTTTCGCATGAATTTCAGCCGCACCTGATAAATTGCATGCATCTCCGAACACACTAGCTAGACAGACTTGGATCTTCTTTTATCTCCTACCTATTGATTTGTCCAGCAACCGATTTGACAA